GGTGCCACTTGTGTACGTCCTTAGACGGTGGCAGGCATTCAAGATCGATAGGCTTTCGTCGTGGCGCCGACGATTCGTCAAGGGCAGTGCTTGCCGAAACAAGCACTTGCATTCCAAGGTGCCAAAGGTACCTCTGTGTTGTGGCTTCGGCAAACCATTTCTTCGTCAACCAGGAAACTCTGTTGTTGAGCAGCACCCGGCTCATGCCGATGTTCGACATATCAGTGTTGGGTTCATCGCGGCATAACAGCACGCTCCCCAGCTACGAAGTTGCCTGCTCCAAAGTTGCTGTCAGCCTTGACGTCGTCAATGCACTGTGCTGTCGAGGGCGGCGCCGTTGCCCGCGTCCCTGCGGTCGCTGGACAATCACATTTGACGGATTTTCCACCTGAATGCCAAAGTTTCCACTCGCAAACGTCTTCCCGTATAGCTCCCCCGCACCATCCCGACAGACAGCACACGCAGGCATGCCACATTCGACGCGTGAATGTCCACCAAGTGTCGCATAGGGCAAAGTGGAGCTTCTGCTCTTATGGATCTTTTGCCAGAGCCAATATACCAACCATTTTTCGCACCGCAGGGGCTACCCCAGGACTCTTCCGCCATTCCCTTCACCATGACGCAGTGAGGCGAGCGGCTAACGAATCCAACACCACGGTCGAGACAAAGGCAACGACACGGCATCCAAGGTCAGCAGTTTGATTCCGCGATATGTTTTCCAGCGCGCGCATCACCTCCATGTGCTTGCCAACTCGTCACTCCGTTCGGCACGGCCGTTCAACTCCGTGTCATCGCTTACGTCAAATTGCCATGGACGCTAGCTTCGATCCTTTAGAGTTGGCAAGGACTGCATGCGAGTGAACGATGTTCTACAACGCAATTGCCATAGTGCAATCACCACACGGATATGAACCAGGGGGTACAAGTGCTGCACAACCAGCCACCAAGGGCGCTCGGACAAACTAGCCGAGGATGGCGTCGAGCGAGGATTATAACTCAAAAACTTTGACCAGCCCACTAGAAATGGACAGAGTGCATCGAATCCACTCAGTACACAGCCTTATGGCGGCGTTGGTGCATGCGTTGTCGCCAACTGTCGGCACTAGTTTGCTACATTTCATGTCAATTTTGCACATTTCAAACGCAATCGTATAGCTCAGTCTTGTTTGAGTACTTCAATGGCGACCTGAGCCTCATTCTGCAGTCAAACTCAAGGTATTCACCAGCTTTTCCAAGTCCGATTCCGCCCAGTTGCGCAGTTCGCCACGGGCCACGATGACGTCTCGAATTGCCAATCGTGCTGGTGGGCACGCGAGCAACTTGCGCAGCGCCTCTTCCATAGGTCGGGCAAATCTTGTCTCGCCATTGTACAGCGCCAGGGCGACTTGGTTGTGCTTCGACAGCGAAAGGTGCGTGGAATCCGTTGGTGTTGATGGAGAGGATTTGTGGGTCCCAATCCACGAATTTTGATGGGAGAGCAGGATCGTCGACAGCACACGCGAGTCTCGGGTGGCACATGGGAGCATGGCGACATTTTCCACCTTCACGGGTTGCTTCAGATAACCACACTTGTTCCACATAATCTCCAAAATCCCATCCGCTTCCATGTCCGACACAACGAGCACGTCGCCATTTCGAAATACAACCACCATATCTGCCATGCGCGCATACTCGATCGACGTGGCGGTCGAAATAGTGTTTAAAAACGAGGCTGTGGCATACAAGGTATCGGGCCACGCGACTGCACCCAAGGCAGAGGTCGAGCCCCCCAGTGTCGTCGCGGCCTGGGCCAATGGAATGACCGTCGTTGAAATGTCATGCACGCTCAGGGCCGATAAGACAGATTCGTAGCGCCACGACTTCTCTACTCGCGCCTGGAGCGCGACTTGCTCCATCTCTTTCTCTTGCTGCTCCTCTTGTTCGATCTGCATCTCTCGTTCGCATTCGTCGCTGCACGCCATGACTTCGACGTGCACTTCAGCCGCATTCGATGCCACATGCGCGTTGATCCGCGCGGCCACGGTACATTCGCCATGATCAGCATCCACTCGACTCCGGACGATCGACGATAGAAAGTGACGGCTCAATGGGGGCTCGTACAAATCCGACAGCGCCCAGTGTTCTTTGACGACGCTGTCAAACCCTGCTTGCTGGCTCTTGCAAAAAAACAGGCCTTGGTCAGCCCACACGGCTAGTCCAGATTGAATGCTGGTAGCAGTGTTCTTGACCACCCATTTCAAGATGGCGGCAATGGTCAACGATGGCAGGGCTTGCTGGACTTCGGGTGGCACGGCCAGAACCACGCGTTGGTGTTTCCCGAGCAGACGAAGGCGGCCAGCGCCCTGCATTAACTTGTCTTTGGTCAGGTTCGGCCCCAAAGTCAACACGGCGATGGCCTCTGGATGCAATTTCATGTCCGTCCCACGGGATCGTGCGTCGTCAAACAGGACAAACGAGTCTCTTTCTTTGATCGGAGACTCGGCAAGCAGCACTGCCGTTCGCGTGCTGGCGCTTTGTGACATCCAACAGTCTTTGGACGGGTCGAAGTACACAATTGCGCGAAACTTGTGGTCGAAGTCGTCGTGGTGGAGCATGTAGTTGCTGATCGCGGCATTTGAAGTGGCTGCCAAGAGCGACCCCGTGTCAATCAAAGCATCGTAGCCACCAGCCAATACAAAGTCCACCACCACTTTCCACGCATCTCCCTTGGCCAGCGCGTCGACAGCCACTGTGTGCGTCATGAGCGAGTCCAGCATGAGTCCATTCGTCGCCAGCAGTTCAGGAAGCGGGGGCTCTTTCGGGACGATCTGGACGGGCAAGATCGGGTTCGACTCGTTCGTGCCAGAAAACCCCTTGGCACGCGCAGTGTGGGCCAAATTCCATGCTGACGTGGCAATGCGAGCGGGATATTGCGCCATATCTTTGGGAAACACACAACGGCGCAGCCAAAAGTTGATCAAGTGGGTCGAAGACGCCAGCTTGTCCACCAAGAGCGTCATTTGTGGGCCGTTCGTTGGGTCTAGCTTCGAGCACTTTTGCAGCATGTGCGCTTCCTTTGGCTCCAGTTCATCGCGAATCGGACCCATCCAAGATTCAAACTCGTTCGTTCGGGCAGACAGCCCCATCGACAAGAGGACATTCACGGCTTCCATGACCTAGAGTCAATCGCCAACCTGAGTTGGCGCCACGAGGTCCAGACGTACCTGAGCCGCACTGAGACCTTGGTAGTAATACGCTATCGTGGTCAACAAGATGGCGACGTCGGGTTGGCCAAATTCTGCGCGGGCGGACGGCACATCGGCCGCTCGAAACGGGATGGCCAAACGTTTTGGGTGCCGCTTCGGGTCGACGCCAAATTGCACTCGAGGGCGCTGTTGCAGACAGTGCTCCAAGATTCCAAACCCAAGGAACCCTCGCAGGGCCAACAACCACGCGTACTGGGGAGTGTCCTTGACGACGTGGAATTCTTCTACGTCCACACTCTTGTCAAGAATGCATCGCATGAGGGTGTCCTTGTGCGTTGGGCCTTTCTGCATCCAGTGGCCAAACCATGCGTGGGCAGACGGGTGGACGAGCCAGGCACTCAACACAAGTCGACGAAGCGTCACGAGGCTCGCTTCAGGTACGTCGGCCTTCAGCCGAATCCCTCGATAATGACACTTCGACTTTGTCGTGGTGGTTTCGAGACAATGCTCCTCCATCCATTCTTTCAGCGGGCCGCGACAGGTATTCAACACGTCCAGCAAGTCCTGCGCAACAATCGCGCGAGTTTCGCATTGGTCGAGCTTGGTGGGAGTGCCCATGGCATATACCAGTTGGTAGCGGTGGTGGAGCAGCGCGTCACACTCGTCGAAAATGTCCACGTACTTCTTGGCCAGCAGCGCCGCAAGCTCGGTCGCTTTGGCGTCCTGTACATACGTATACTCGTGGTACTTCATCTCCAGCGACAACCGGTGTTCGGGGGCGACGATGTAGCAAGCGTTCTCGATCCGTTGGCCCAAGATCGTCAAGCCAAACGACGTCAGGCTCACTTGTCGATGAAAGGGCTGGTCCACAATGCGAATGCCCAGCGTCGACGCGCACAAGTGCTGGTGGAAAAAAGCAATCGTCTCGCGCAAGATGGGGCCAAGGATATGCACACGGGGGACTTGACCGAGAGCCGTGTAGTGCAAGATGAGCATCGGCAAGATCACGCGCGTCTTGCCCAGGCCCATGTTGAGTTGGCAAATCGTGCCAGATCCCTCGCGGAGCAGGTGCAGAGCGATTGTAGCCTGCTCCGGCCGGATTTGCAACATCCCTTCGACCTCAAACACGAGCCACCGAGGATGGTCCGCAATGCTCCACGTGCGAGTGACTTGGAGTTCCCGAACAACGAGGGCGTCCGATCCGTTGGTCTGAACCAGATGCAACAGGCGGCGCAACCGCGCATGCAACACGCATGTGGCCAAGTACAAGTGCGTGGCTTGTTGGAAGGCGTTGATGGCACTGGGCGAAAAGTACGGGTTGAAGTGGAGAACGTCGTTGGGCGACGTGGCCCATATCAGGATGTCGTGCGGCGTCACGTTCGGGAGCCGATTGCACGCCAAACGAAGCCGCATTCGATTCGCATAGCGTGCCGGCACACATTGCATGACAGTGTCCTTGAGGTAGCGCTCCAGCGCAGTCACGTTCCGCTCAACGTTGAGTTGAATCTGTCGCAACGCGTTGTCCAGGCCTTGGATATTCGTGATCGAGGGCTGTTCCAATGCTTTAAAATGCTTCCAACTCGATTTCAAGTCGGCGACAATGCGTTGTTCAATCGTATTGCCCTTCCAATCCTGGAACGGAAAGGAATGGCCGACACGGCTTTTCGTAAACGACACCAGCGACAACAAGACCTTCTCGACAAGGGCCACCGACTCCACCGGCACGGGGCATGCAGGCAGGACGTCGATAGAGTGCAAGCCAGGCGGAGGGTCATGAAGCCGAGGAAGAAGGGTCGGCCCAAACGTTTCCATCATCTCGTGGGGGTGTAGCTTCCGTCGGTGCTCATTCCACGGCATGCGTGACGAACTCAACGCGCGAAGTTCGCTCATAGACGCACAGACAAACGCATTCGGCGACTCGGTTCGCTGGTCGCCCGAGACGTCGTAGTGCACGAGAAACGCTCGATCCAACGACTGCTTGGCGTATCGATCACACAAAATCGCCAGCGCGGGCTCTTTCTGTGCGAAGGCAGCCACATTCGCCAGTTTCTCGGCTTCTAGCTCGGAATAGGGACGAGATGTCCAGCATTGTCGAAGCAAAAGCAACGCCATCTCCGATCCAGTCATCCCTACGTGGGGGTCAGGCAGCGAGCAACTGGACGCCGCGAAGATTGCCGCAAGCTGCAGACGGGCGGCAATTGAGGTCGCTGCCAACTGGTTTGAATGGGGGGCCACTTCGTACGTGTAGTACGTCAACGAGGCGTTGCAAGCGCTCGACACGTCGACGGTGACTGACCTATTCCGAGCAACCACGAGCCCGTTCGGGACAAGAAGAAGTGTCGTTGGTTGGCCAGGGGCATCGTGGATTCGCTCCAGCACGAGGTATCGCTGAAAAAATGGCGGCAATTCGTAACAGTGCTGTACGGTGGCCAAGCAAAATTCTCGAAAGTCCAAACTCCGCGGGCTGGACGTGTATCCTTTAAATGTCAAGCCAAAGCGGGGCAGATAAACGTTGAGTTTGTCGTCGGGCGTCAGCATGGCATGCACATATTCCGCACTTTCGAACTTGGACAGCACCGAAGCAATGGATGGGATCGTGGAGGCGTCGACGAAGCGTCGGAACGAGTGCCGCATGGCCAGCATGTCCGCGATGTCGACGTCGTGGTAGCAAGACGGCACTTCATAGCATCGATGGGGGGCGCCAAGCATGGCAACGACTTGATTCGCGCGAGATTTGAACGCTGGCGGGCGGAAGAGCAAGAGCTCGTTCTGGCGATCCACCCAGTGCGAATGCATCGTCCGCAACCTTGTGGGGAGCCCACTCAACCACGACTCCGGGGTGAATTCCACCAATTCCAAGCGTCGGTCGCAGTAAACCGCTTGAATGCAAAGGTACTTCGAATTGTTGTGCAGACTGAGCTCCATGTTGGCGCCGTCAAACGATTGCGTCGTCCGAAACACACCGTCACTCGTGGCGACCACGTCAAAATCGTGCTGGTCAACGTACCGCTTGTACGTGGCATGGTCCAACACCGCTCGGGGAAGGCGAGATGGAGGATTCCCATTCAGCAGGACACATCCCGTCAAGACGTTGATCATGTAGTGCTCAACCTTGCCGTTCACAGTCGCCGTTGTTTCATAGCACATGGACTCGGGCACGCGCGTCCAGTGCAGCGGGGCTGGCGGCAGGTGGGTAAACACGCCACGAAGCGCGTGGCTGAGGGAATCGTCGCACTCTGCCGTCGATAGCACCGAGCCGACAATGCCTTGCACTCGGGACGCCATGGCATCGGCAACCTGCACTTCCATCCACGCCAAGTCTGTCGCCATCGAGCTGTCCGTGCCAAACAAAACGCCGTATCGAAACTTGACAACAAAGTCGACCAAGTTGCGCGCGTCGGGCGCAGTCAAGTCAACCACCGACGACTGCGCCAAGATGCCATACCCGTACATCAAGCATTCCTTGGCACGCAGTTCGAGGCGGTGCGACGGGGGCAACTGGTCGGTCTCCATTTCTTCGTGGATGATGGCCACCCATTCTGTTGCCACCGCCACCAGTTCGCGGGCAAGCTCCCGTGCTTGGGGGTAAAGTTGAGACAGGTACGATGCCATCTTCGCCGCGGCCACAAATGCTTTGTAGTCTCGAATGGTGTCCCGGATGAGACTGATTTGAAGAGCGAGCCCGGCATACCATTTGTCCAACCACCCCTGCTCCAAGTCGCGCTTCCATTCCAAATCCACCGCGTCCGTGTCGGCGAGCTCGCCAATGTGAAACATTGCTTGGCAAGTCACACTCAGCACAAGTGGGTGGCTCCAGGGAAGCGTCGATGCGTACAGCGCCTGGACAATCTTTCGAACTTGTTGGTTGGGGAATGCGCGCAGCGATCCGAGCGTCAAATACTCCGTCTTGGACATCTCTCGGGGCATCATGTGCAGGTTGGCGTAGGAAAGGTTACCTCGCGCAGAGTCCCCCGCAGTGGCTGGCGCTGGACACTCCATGAGCCACTGGAGCTTTCGATCTTTCAGTTGCTCCGTGAAAAACGCACGCATGTGCGAACGATGGACCAAAAACGGATTCAATTGTTGCGACCAATGCAGGCCAAGCTCAAACCGGGTCGGAAACCAAAACGATGGGTGGGCATGCGTGATGCCATCCACATTGTTGGGACCCCACGTCGACGGAATGCGAATCGCAAGGGGAAAGCTAAACCAATGCCCCAGGCTGGCTTTGTGGCACCCTCGACGTTGAAACATCTTTGCATTGTAGTGCTGTGCCCATGACGTGGGCGGATGGGCCACTTTCACATCTTGGACGATGAGCCCTGGAGCTCGTGGGACGAGCGTGTACTGCGATGCGGCAGACAATCGCGCCAACGTGTTCAATTCCGTCGGGGCCAGGAAAAAGAAGAGCACACTTCTCGCTCGGTCGGCAGTCTCGGGAAGCGGGCACACGACATATCTGGGAGGCACAATGACTCGAGCGATCTCCGCTTTCTTTGCCTCCAACGCTTGCTCGGCTCGTTGCAAACGCTGTGATGCATCGGTGGCGATGCATTCGGCCGCGAGCACTTCGTCCGATTTCTGTATATAGAACTTTCTTCTCGAATAATATTGGCGCACTTCAGGAAAATCGATGACAGCTTGTGCTAGTGCTTGCGTCGCTTCGTCCTTTGTGATACGTGCGGCAAGGACGGCAGATTCCAACGATGGTAATTCAGCTCGCAAGACTGCGGCTTGGGCTTGCTTGGCTCGAACCTTGTCCATATACTCGTCCATTTCCGCTTTCACTGCGTTGGATTCATCCACCCACCGCTGCTGTATGGCAGGGTTTATCTCTCCAAATCGCCGGGCAAATTCTATGGTCCCATCGATCGCAGCCAGTGAAAACAGAGGCAACGGGGCTGCCGTGTTCACGCGGCGAATGTACCGCGCAACCTCCCGCGCCGCGTCGACTGCCCGTTTGTCTGGCAAGACCAGACAGCCGAGATCCTTCCAACTCAGGGCCGTGGCGTATTCCGACACCAGGGGGAAGGCTCGGGCGCAATGCTGATGAACCAAACAGTACCCGACCCACGTCACGACCACTTCGTAGCTTCGAAGCATTGACATCATTTGGTGGTGCCCACCCCCGTTGGACTCTAGCCAAGCCGTCACCATCCCAGAATACGTTTGCACCAACGCGTCGAGCGCAAGCACATCAGTGGGCGACAAGTCCATCGGGCACTTGGAAGATGCCAAGAGTTTCGCGCACGACCACATCAACGTGTGCACTTCATAAAGGACCAACAAGCACGCATCTGGATCGTGCCCTGCCTTCAACCGTGGATGGCTGTTGATCCAAGCCTGCATCTGTTCAAAACTGGCCGATGTCACCTTGTCGTGGCATGAATAGGTCGGGAGGGATCCGCAGTAGGCCAAAGCGCGCGCCCGACGCTCTTGGGTTGTCATAGGCTTCGATGGCGAAACTTTCGGGTCCAGCACGTCGGTGGCCATGCCAGGAACGGCAACGTCGGTCGGCTTGGTCGGCGTCATTTCCAGTTGCTTGGCTTGGGTGTCCTTTGTCCGCACATACGTTGCATCCAAGTTGGCTCGTACAGTTTGCAGTTGGGTTGTGATCTCGGCCACGGACGCTCCATGATCATCCATATCGATGGCCCCGAGGGCAATGGCATCCACAAGATTCATGATACAGTCGATCGCGTTGATGTCCGTTGTCACATCGAAGTTGTTCGCGAGCCACAGCAAAAAGTGAATGCGGAGACGCGTAAACGTGCGGGAATCACCCAAAAAGTACAGGAGGGCGGCTTCGACGAGAGGATGCGCCGTCGTCCGTGGCAACGTTCCGATATGTATCCCCATCATCGCGTGCTTCGTCGACGCGGCGGCACCGTCCGTGGCGAGCGCTTGATGCGCCAACGCTTGCACAAGAAGAGGCGTTTTCCGCCAGTCGCCGTCGTGTGCATGTCGCGAAGTCCGATGTAGAGCGGCATCTTTTGTCAGCAGCTCGTCCAGCTTCTGCTTGAACAAATCCACCGAGTCGGTGGGCATCGTTCCAAGGTCCAGCACCGTCGTGCTGGTCGGCAGCACAACCATCGTGTTTCCAAATGACCGACACGATAGATTCGATTGCCACGTCGCTGGGTACAGCAACACCACGTGCGACAGCTCATTATACCCGGCGGGAATGACAAACACGGCGCACCCGTACGCCGGGAGCCATCGACACGGAAGGGTTGTGAGCGCTTTCAATGGTGGCGCCAAGGCAGCTTGGTCGTCGGCACTGGATTGTTTGCAAAACGCCATGAATGCAGCAACGCTGGCTTGGACATTGGCCTCGGTTGACTTGGGCAACGGCGCGCGGTGCGGTACTTGCACAATGTCGTCGATAAACGCGTTCACATCCATTGCGCTGGTGCTGGCAACTTTACGAGTGCCTGTTTGCAACTTTGCCATCCAACTGGCACAACGATTTGCAACGTTGCAATGCCATCCAACTGGCACAACGAAAGCCAACGGCCACAACGAACACAAACTACATTCAACTCGACTTTGGACTCGACTAGATGGCGTCGACAGCTTCGGCATTTAAGCCTTCGTAGCACGTCAGTCCATCCTTGTTGACCACGTCGTCTTTGGCACCCTTCTCCATCATGTACTCCATCAAGTCATGGAATCCATACGCGTGCGTGTAGTGCAGCACGGTTTGTCCATTCAGCTACGCGACAAACGTTAGATCATACCCGCGATCGTGGCACACGCGGGACGCTTACGTTTTGTGTATTCACGTCCGCGCCCTTGCGAAGGCACAGCTTGGCAATGCGCTTGTTGTTGTTCTGGCATGCGATCGAGAGCAGCGTGTTGCCGGCGTTGTCCTTGGCGTCGATGGGGACGGTCCAGTCGGGTTGGTTGAGTAGCTACGCACTGTCAGGACGCCAAGGACGACAGGGCCACCACGTACGTTTTCGACTTCGGCGTACTTGCCGTGGCGACACAAACTAAAGATGTGCTCGAGTTCCATGGCTTCTTTGGCGGCTTGGGTGGCCACTTCTTGCCGGGCTGCATGCTCATTCGCGTCGATGAAGGCTGACCCGGCCACGGCGGGCGTGTCGTTGTCTTCAACAGCCAGCGACTTGACAAATTCGCAGTTGAACAGGTCTTTGCCAGCCACCCTAAACAAGCCATCCATCACACAGGTGCGTGGGCAGTCGAGTCGAACCATGGATCGTAGCCGACGGTGAGCCACTCGTCCGCCGCCGTTCGCGGCCGAACGATCCCCATACTCCGCGGTTGATTCTACAGTGCATGCGTCGGCCACATCCAGAGGACACCTCCTGCGTTTGCACCTTGTTGTTTAACGAAGGCAAGTAGTTTGCTTCCATCTTGACCGTCTTGGTCGTGGTTGCGCACTGAACAAAGTTTCGTGGCAGCACCGCCACGCTTCGATGGACAGCGCCACGAAAGCCATCGACGGCCGTCTGGCTCTCTTCGCTAAAGTCGACGGGCTGGTCCACCCACGTGACGCCTTCGCCCGGCGGCGGATGCGTGACAAACTCCGTGCCAAACGGGTGAGGCACTCGTTCTCCTGGTGGCAACTCGTCCGGTGTCGCATCCAACACCACACTGATCTCTGTCCGTGTCGTCGTGGCCCCGAGGTCGTCCGCAGCTGAGGCATGAATGCTTCCACGACTAGGGATCGCCTGGGTTGAGGGCAAATCGTCGCCGTCGCTCGCGCTGTCCTCCGACTTTGCTTCCTCGAGAAGACTGCTGCCCTTCATCCCGAGACCCATCCCTAGCCCAATGCCGAGCTGTAGCACGTCCAGGACGTTTGTCTGGCCCATCGACGCCCCGAGTGCTTGAGTCAACGTGTCGATCAATTTCTTCGTTTCTTCGTTCACAACGGGACCTGTCGTCGCGACGGGGGGTTTGACTGCATGGAATGGACTGGATGCATTCTCGCCAACGCGAGGTGGCGCGCCAGCAGTGGTGGTGGTCGCGAGGGGGCCATTGCCTGTGGTCGGTTTGGTCAATGTGGGCTGGAACGACAGCGGGGGCACTTGAATTCGAGACATCCGAGGCGGGGGAGGTTCCTTTACGACAACCACGTCAGGCTTAAGCACAATCGAATGCTTCTGCGCGCTGATTCGAACAGACTTGACTCTCGCGTCGCGCTCCATCGGACTTTCCATGGTTTTGGTCAAGTACTTGCGCATGTCTTGCTGGGAATACCGGGCGTCCGCCCCTCCTCCTCCTACGCCGACCGTGGCTTTCTCGGTCCGGCCATCCACGACCACCCCTTCAATGTCGCCGTCGTCGCCGCGATGCTTCTCTTGGTCCATGAGCGGTCGCTCCCAGTAAGTGATTCCCGTTCTCTTGTCATACCTATCGCGTTCGCAGCGCGTGAAGCAGGAGCGGTCGAGATGCGTCAATCGAAGGGGAGGTCGCATGATAGCGTACCAGTACGCAAGCCCATCGTCCGTGACGAACTCTTCGAACGGCGACCCCTGCATGAATGCCCAGCTTCGGTAGATGATCGGGATGCATTGGCCCATCGCGCCGTCCACGTTGCAGTTCTTCATAAACTCGCCGGGGTCTTGGGACCCCAAGTTTGTAAAGCACTAACGCGTGACATGAGCTGTACGATTGCGGCGGCGATGTCCGACCTGGGGCTGGTTGCGGGTCGACTTGCCCATCCACAGCAAGTGAATGAACTCGGCGATCGTGCTCTCTCGTGTTGTGGGCTCGCAGAACGGGTAGTACCGATCCGCCCGAGTCGTGATCGTCGCGTTGAATGCAGGCGTGTTGAACGTGAGGACGTCGCCGGACGGGACAAACGTGACGGCGCGGGTTTCGTCCGGGATGTCGAGGCCCATCCATTCGAGGATCGTGCGGAAGCCAAAGAACGCTTCTTCGCTCGTTTGTTCAGGTCGATTCACGCACGGTTCCACCGCTTCCCCTGCCACAGAATACGCCCCCGTGACGTCAGATCGTCACGAACGACGCCGACCGTCGTCGACGATATCGACCACCCGTCGACAGTGCGGCAAGCTCAAACACGAATGCATTACCACGTACCTTGCACAACAACCATGATGGTCGGGGGTCGGCGCGTGTTGAGGGCATGCTCCAGCGGTCGGACGACGTACTTGAACGTCGTTGCAGCGATTTCAAAGCACTTGTAAACTGCAGACGAGTCGGGCGTCGGCTTCGGACAGATCGACCGTCGGTCCGTGACGGTGAAGTTGCCAAACTGCGGCGGAACAAACGTCGTCACGACCAAATAAATGAGAAGCTCGGCAACGAGGCCCCCGACCGCGACGTTGTCTGCCGTCGGCTTGCGGCCAAAGTTGGCAAAGAGGACGCAGCTGGGCGGCGTCACTCGCGTCCGTCTTGGTTTGTCGAATCCGACGGCCGGCGTGCACGCTTTGATTTGAGCCATGGCGCGGTACAGCGACGCTTGGCTTTGTCGCGCGCAGAGCCGTTCGACCCACGAGATTTTGTCTCGGCCATCGATGAACCGATTTGGCACGGGAAGAGGAATCTGGTCCAGGAACGACGGCTGTGGCATCGGGATGCACCGCCTTGGGAGCAATTCATACGTGCGTGGGAGGTAGAGGACCTTGGGCACGGGGCACACGGTCTGGAGGACCCATTGACGCAAGTCGTGGGGCGCGGACGGGCTCATCGCGATCACGTCAAGCGTCGGGTTTGGGCTAAAGCTCCTTTGCGTCACTGGTGCGACCGGGTGGAAGTGGACGACCGAGTCCGAGTACGCTTGGCACCACTTGCCATTGCGCAACGTGTCGCGGAGCTTCAACAGAGTCGGTGGCGACGCCTTGGACACATTGCCAAGACGCAGTTGCTCCAAGAACGACCGAAACCACGCGCGTGTGTGCAGTTTTCTCCTCATGGTCTTGTTGAACGCAGACAAAGTCGCGTCGACGGCGCGGTAGATAGGATGTCGGCACTCGATCACGGTGATGTACGCCTTCCGCTGCTTGTCGTAGCTAGTCCATTCGCAGCGTGAGGGCATCGGACTACGATCGAGGCAAGCAGCGTACCGCAACGAGCTGTTGGCTTTCATAAAGACCTCTTGGATTTCTTCGGCGCGGTACTTACGACGGAGTTGGTCGATTTCCCAGTTGGAGCACATGAGCGCGCTCTCGGACGCCGGGCGCGCGCGCGTGTCGTACGGATCCTGATGCTTTTCACAGAGGCAACCTTTGATGGCGCTCCAGCATGCAAAGCACTGGGTCATCGTGGGGAGAGCGTCCTTATCCGAGGGGCCGCTGGATGATCGAGGTCGCTGCTTCGGGGGGGAGCGGGCCACATTCTGCGCGGAAAACCCAGAGTCCGCGACATCTCGAATGCGCAGGTGACGCGTTGCCGGGGGCGGTTTGGCCGACTTCTTCTTGTGAGACGATGATCCCTTGTCTTTGGCTAGCACGGCAACCATATACGTGTCTGGCTTCTTCCCGAGCACGACGTCGCGCGCCACACCAGACGATGCCAACGACGGTGACAGCTCGCCGGTCCGGTCCGGCCGGCGGTACTTGTCCCGCTTCGCATTGAACGAGATGGACGACGTGAGAAGGGACGAGACCGAATCAAACTTGGACACTTTGAGCGCGTCGCGGATGGTGTCGCGCAGCTTGTGGTTCTTCGACCCGTCCGCGAGGAAAAGGGCTGTGTCGTCCATCCAATCGACCATTTCGCCGTCGCAGGCAGAGTCAGCAGGATGATGGTTTGGCGGCGACGTATGGGGCTGGCTGTGAGAGCAAGGCGCGCTGTTGCTTTGTCCACTGCTCGTGGAGGGGGAGTTGCTTTGCGTGACTGACGCCATCGTGCTGGGAATGTCATCGTCAAAATCTTGCACGAGAATCATGGGGGGCTGCGGTGTCAGGACAGGTAACGTGTGACTTTTGGCAGCGACCTGCATCGACACGGCACACGAGTGCGGCGTTTGAGTTTTGGGCGAAAGGGGGGGTAGCGATGAAAAGTGCCCTTGGTTGTTGTTGTGCGGTGCTGGGCTCAGTGCCTGCGCTCCCATCGTCGACATGCCCTTAGTCGACGAAGCCTTGGACAGTGGGGGAAGGGGCGATGCAGCGGCGGTCATGGCCACAGGTGGCTCCCACTGGCTTTGCCCAGTTTCAGTGTTGTAGTACCAGGTCTCACCGCGGTCGGGGTCGGTGATTTCTCTCCATGCAGCTTGTATTGCGTGCAGTTTGGCTTTGATGCTCTCGTCCTCATGCTTTCCCGGGCTGACCTGGCGTTCGAATTGCCGCCTCCGAACGAGGAACCCTCGCCCAGACGCCTGGATCTGCAGTCGACGACAACGGCATGGGTTTGGAAAAGATGGTGGGAAAGCACGTACCTTGATGGCAGCTAGGGTTTCGCGGTCTTTCGAACGAGTTTGTGGCTATAGGGGCACGGTAAATTCAAGCGCAACGGGGTACAACAGATAGATTACGCTGTTGCCAGATTCGACTTCCGGTGCGGGGAGGACCAACGGGTGTATGCTTTCGTGAGCGGTTCGCTGTCGACTCAGCCGATCCTTTTCGTGGTCAAGTACGTCCAGTTGTTCTTCGAGGGCTTTCTTTCCTGGGATCGTGGACGGGACAAAGATATCTGCCGCCTCTCGCACTCGGCTCTCTTCTTCGTCAAACCCAAATGCGTCGCCTGTGTCGAGAGGCGCCACGGCGAAGGGAGGTTCGATTGCTGGATTTCGTTTGTCTTTCGCAGCATTGGTTGAGCTCTCTTCCAGTCGGGCTGATGGTGGGAACGTGTCAAGCACTTCGATCGTGACACGGCCCACGACTTTTCTCGGCCGTTTTCGAGACGGGGACACAGTCGTGATGCGCTCGAGCAAGTGGTGTGTTTCGTTGGCGATGGCCTGCACGTCGTCGTTGGGGTTCTCCAACGGCAAAACCACTACAGCCTCACCCTCCTGCTTCTTTGACACACCATCCTTCTCGCCCTTGGACTTATTGCGGCGACGAAAGACCGGGAACGGCATGAGTCCGTCGCCGCATGGAACGGCGGCCGCGAAACTGCTCGGCGCAATCGCGTAACGGCGGTCAATTAAGTTCGGTAGGCTGACCATCGCACTTAAACGATGTATGCCTGCATATCGCACTTAACCGTGCACTTGGTCCGCAGCCCAATTCGACAATGGACTTGCTGGGAAAGCTGGCGCAGGGTGGGTGTGCCGCCGACGGCACGGTAGCTGCGCGAAACCCGCTGTCGCAGGCACTGGATGGCGTGATCCGTGCGGGTCCGATGGGCAGAGCTCAGCATCCGCATCCTTTGGAAGCTCCTCCTGGACACATGATGGTACATGACATCCACCAGGCGATGGAAGACGCTGCAAGAGCGCACATGCACGACCAGCCACCGCCGTTCCATCACCACGATCCACGCAGTGTTAGCACCATGCCTCATGCTGCACAGGTCGACATGAACCACGTGTGGATGCAAGAACAGATGCAACGCAACACCTCCCAACGGCACATGGAGCAGGCATTTCGTAACGTCGCACCCCAGCAGCCCCAAGCAGCACCGGCCATTCAAGACGATCGAACTGCTTTTATACGTCCACAGCAATACCATGGCCCGCCGCCAGCCTATATGCAGCAGGTACTCTCGCTTGTCCCATGGTTCACCGCCTTACTCCTTGGAAAAGATAACATACCACCCGCAGCACTTGATGATGCCGGCGCCGTCGTTCATGCACCAGCACCACATGGAGCCACAGAGCTTGGTAAACCTCCACCAGCCGTCGCAGGAAGTCCAAGCAACACAGGCAGTCGAAGAGGCAGCAGCGACTAGTCGACCAGACTCGTCGGTGACTCAACGTGTATCGCGGGACGTGGCCAACACCTTGCGTCAAAACAGTGACCCGAGGTTCCAGAACAGCGAGTTCGTTCAGTTCATGGATGCGTTGGGGTCCGGTCGCGCGGAGCTCGATGATGCGGGCAACACGGTGATTCACCACGACCCGGTCGACACGGACGAGTTGGCCGATGCGCTCAAGCGGGACTTGACGATGGGCGGCGATGCCGACGGATTGGATGTGAATGCTCTGGTAGGCTGGTCCATTTCGACGGCGCAAAGTGAGCGACGTGACTTGCAGGAAGAGATTTGGGCGAAAGCCATGCAGGAAGGGCAAATGCTCGACCCGTTTGAAGGAACGTGGTCGTCCGCCCACGACCCGGCGAATGCTACGTACGAATTTGCCGAATCGAATCCGTACACGTCCGACTCGAATGCGTTTGAAGTGGTCGGTGGTCCCGATGTTGCCGGCTTGTGCTGTGGCCAACCCGACGAGGTGTCGTAGGGGTGCGCTCAGTTTCGGCAAGGCAACTTGAAGGACGCGATCTTGGCCTTCGAGGCTGCGCTGCAGGACACGCCAGACCATAGCGAAGCGTGGCGCATGCTAGGCGAATGCCATGCAGAAAACGATCAGGACAAAGAAGCAATCGTGTGCTTGAATCGGTGCGGTGGCTGCAGCATTAACTACGATTGCTGACCCCTAGTACATTGACTCAATCGTTGCGGTAGGGCTGTGGAAGAAGACCCGTACAACCTCGACGCGTTGCTAGCGCTGGGCGTGAGCAACGTGAACGAGCTCAAGTCCCATGGCGCTCTCACGATCTTGCAATCGTGGGTGCAGCATAATCCAAAGTTCCATGGCCTTCAAGTCGAGCTCGACGACGCGTATGGCGACGGCAGTCTCATGGACGAAGTGATGCAGTTGATGCTTCAAGCCCAGGCATATGATCCCCACGATAGCGACGTTCAAGTACACGTCGACGGGTGCACGGCGCAGCGAATCTAACGCGATTCGCCGTAGATTGTGCTGGGCGTGCTGTACAACGTCTCTAAGGACTACGACGCGGCCGTGCGGTGCTTTCGAGCGGCTGCAAGCGCCCGCCCCGACGAGCATTCGCTGTGGAACAAGCTGGGGGCGACTCTGGCCAACTCGTCTCGGTCGAACGAAGCCATTCCAACGTACTATCGGTGCGAGCGCGACCGCGAGGCGGATTTGTGACGGGGTCATAGGGCACTCCAAATCAAACCGAAATACGCCCGGGGGTGGCTGAATCTGGGCATATCCCATGCCAACTTAGGGCAGTACGAGGACGCTGCCCATTGCTACTTGCAAGCGCTGCAGCAAAACGACCAGGCCGACCACATTTGGAGCTACCTCCGCATTGCGTTCACGTGCATGGAGCGATTTGACCTGGTCAAGCTGACCGACATCAAGGACGTCGGTGCGTTCCGCAGCGAATTCAACCTGCTCACGTTGTAAGCATGTCAATGGAGCGATGGTTGCTGTGTCGTGGCCATCAGAGCTAGCTCTGAATCGACCATCTACCTCGGGAAGAGGGCATATGATGGTTGGACCCGTGAACGAACGTATTTGTTGCCTACAGGAGCACTGAAGCCCAGTGGAGCGGGTGGCACGTGGCAAGGGGCAGCTCCGTTCTCCTCCAAGAGCTCCATCCTCGTCCACGTGCGAGAAGTATCGATCGATGTGGGGGTGGACCCCACAGTGATCGACTTTTGGCTGCGTGGAAGAGTCTATTTCCCGCCATATCGTGCTCCCGAAGGTCTGTTCTTTTGCAGAGCCAGCAAGCGGGATTCCAAAGCGCCGTCGCAAAATACTGGCGGACCTCTTGGGCCTACATTCACCAAAGGTCCGGGCACGAGGGGATGCGATGTGCCGTGGCGGGTAGACGAGTGGTCGGCGCGACGTATGTAGCTGACGTCATGTCGTACGGCGACGATTGCGAACGAGAGCTGCTGCAGGTCGGGCAAGAGGGGCAGCAAGAGGTTGAACAGGTCGCGCTCCAGCCACGAGTGGAATAGCCGTGAAAAAAGGATCCATCCGGTCACCCTCAGCTTGCACTGCATTTTCAACATCTTCCGTTGGCCCAGGCCGCGAGGGTTCGAGCGGCTTCTGGACTGACTTGCCCCGCTGCGCAGCTAGCTACCCACGTACTGGGGGCAACCAGGCATGTCTAGGCGGAAATACAGCAGCAGAGTCGAAAAACGCCGCTGCAAGCCATCGAGGGAGCTCGCGATGGATGCTTGTGAAGGAGGAATTGACGTGAGAGTGAAGCGTCGAGGGGACCAAACCAAAACTCGCCGACCATGACGGGCAACCATGCTTGGCTCGGGCCTTCCTCGCACATGACGTCGCGTTGCTGGCTTCACTACCCTCAATGACAACATGTACAACGTCGAGCCTGAAAGACTGCGACTGGGTCCTGTATAGCAGTCAGGTTTGCCTGAGGTTGGCAACCATGGCGGCCATGCTCATCCTTTGCTTCAACATATTGCGACGCTCTGTTGTTGTTGAGGCGATTTCGAGTTGACGCCCAGGATCGAATTTGCCCAGTTGTGCCGTCCACCGCAAGGGGCCACGATGATGGCTGCACGCCTGCTGATGAACGAACAAACTACTCAAGCATTGCCTGTTCGATTGGGTCGGTGAATTTGTCGCTGATGTGCTTGTGCTCGACGGGTTGGAGGTCACACATTCGGCGATGCTGTCTGCCTGGACGAGTCTTCCGATTCGCGATGAACTGGAGCCAAAGGAAGCGCACATGCTGCAAAAGTGCTCGAAGCTAGACCCGACGAACGGCCCACAAATGACGCTCTTGGTGGACGAGCTGGCGTCTTCGACCCACTTGATCAACTTTTGGCTGCGCCGTTGTGTGTTTCCCAAAGATATGGCGCAAT